TTTCTGTTTCTAGATCCTTGAGGAATCGCCACCCACACTGTCTTCCACAAATGGTTGAACTGATTTACACTCCCACCAACAGTGTAAAATTGTTCCTATTTCTCCACATCCTCTGCAGGATCTGTTGTTTCCTGACTTTTTAATGATCACCATTCTAACTGGTGTGAGATGGTATCTCATTGTGGTTTTGATTTCCTTTTCTCTAATGACCAGTGATGATGAGCTTTTTTTCATATGTTTGTTGGCTGCATAAATATCTTCTTTTGGAAGTGTCTGTTCATATCCTTTGTCCACTTTTTTGATGGGGTTGTTTGTTTTTTTGTTGTAAATTTAAGTTCTTTGTAGATTCTGGACATTAGCCCTTTGTCAGATGGATAGATTGCAAAAAGTTTCTCCCATTCTGTAGGTTGCCTGTTCACTCTGATGATATTTTCTTTTGCTGTGTGGAAGCTCTTTAGTTTAATTGAATCCCATGTGTCAATTTTGACTTTTGTTGCCATTGCTTTTGGTGTTTTAGTCATGAAGTCTTTGCCCATGCTTCTGTCCTGAATAGTATTGCCTAGGTTTTCTTCTAGGGTTTTTATGGTTTTAGGTGTTACGTTTAAGTCTTTAATCTATCTTGAGTTAATTTTTGTATAACATGTAAGGAAGGGGTCCAGTTTCAGTTTTCTGCATATGGCTTGACTGGCTAATTTTTAAATTTTTTGTGGAGGCAGAATTTCACCATCTTCCCCAGTCTGGTCTCTAATTCCTGGCCTCAAGTGATCCACCTGCCTCAGCTTCCCAAAATGCTGGGATCATAGGCGGGAGCTACCATGTCCAACTCCAGATTATCTAATTTAATCTTCACTTCAGCCTTGCTGCCTTGTGATTTAGTCAGCAGCAAGCAATAGAAAACCTGACTCAATAAGGAAAGCAATACAACAAGGAAAGTTATAGACACTTCTAAATCCAGAGGTGTAGTGATCTCAGGGTTTTTCCTTTTTTATAACACTTTCTTTCCTCCTCCCCTATTTTTATTTGAGCCTCTCTTGTCAGTGGTTTGAAACTTTTTTGAGTCATTATATAATGACCCAGTACACACAAACACTACACACACCCACATACAGCCCCTCTGAATTAAAAGTTTCACTAAACAATACTTATCCTTAGTAGAGTGTAATTCACTCTTCTAGTATAATCTATTGTATATCTTATCCTATCCTGTCCTATCTTACTCTATTTTTAAAATTCTGGAGAAATATTGGCTACCTTGATTTCATGACCCTTCCATGGATCTCAACCCTTAGCAAAGCTTCCAGGCTCAACCCTCAGCTGGCTGTTTGGGCCTTGGACTTGGCTAGTCTGCATTCCCTCAACCTCCCCATCCACTACCTGCAATGCAGTAAAGTTTCCAAATCTTACACTTCATCTCCTGGTGATTCTGGCTCCTGCTTTCCCCTGTGACAGTTAGTCAGACACACTGACATTTAGCTGACCACTATGCTAACAATCTTTGTTCTGCCCAGTCCTCTCTGGCCTAAGCCACTGTGAAATAGACTGGTTAGATCATGTTGGGTCCTCACAGGGCCTTTTGTCACATTTGAGTCTCTCTTGAGTTCTGACACCAATAAGTCATGAATGAAACAGAGAGAAATGATTATTTTCTAGAACAAAGATAAAAAAAACTAGAGCATTACAAAAAGTTAGCCACTTCTTTACTTAGATTTCTGTACATTCAGATGCTCTTTCCTTTTTTATTTCCTTATCTCTTTGTTACTCAGAATGAGGTGCTCAATTAAGTGTTTGTCCCATTTAAATAGAGAACCTTATCACCACGCGTGTTCAATGTTGGCTCTGCCTGTAGAAGTGTAGATTTGTCCAGAATTTCTGCAGAAATACTGGATACATGCAGGTTCACCAGCAACCCTCACCCCCTGAAATCAAGTCCAGTCTAGCTCTCCATAAGTACATAAATCATTTTAGGGAAGGTGAAAGTTCATCTGGCCCAATATTTCTCCTCTGTTTTGGTTTATCTTAATCCTGTTGTCCTATTTTTTCACCACACCCTCAATCTTCGCTGTCTCTAAAAGAAGCATAACTGCCTCTTCTTAACTTTTATAAACTTTGTTAGAAGCACTTTCTTCAATAACTTGTTCCATATGTTGCATACATGAGCTCCATTAAGATCCCCCTTCCCCCTACCGCTTCCTCAATTTTGTATGGCATCCATCAGTATTTGAATCATTACAAGTAAAGGGGGAAAATACCCTCCAATCCCATCCCGATGGGACCTTTCTCTTTGGCATGTTCAGCATGTCCCATCATGTAGAAGGCTCTGTGTGGTTTTCTGGAAGTTTTTCTAACCCAGTGAGAAACAGCTGGTCTACCTTCACCATCCTCTCCTTCTTTCCTTTGAAAGCTCCATATGGCTTGGGTGATGCCACCTTGCCCTACTCAGGACAGCTTCCTGGGATAAAGGACAGCAAACACCTCTATCTTCCTTAGAAGGGTCCAACAAGAACTCTGAGTAGACCGAGGACATCTCTCTGGGTTTCCAGTCAATTTCCTCTGTAAACTCACTCTCAGATTTTGGCCATTCTCAACTGTAGCTGATGATTTAAAAATGTATATTTTTTTCAGTTTCTAGATGACTCCACTTATCTCCATTCTAGTTCTTTTTGTCCTCTTTGCCCTTATTTGACTGTTTCATGAGACACATACTTAAAAGCCAGGTCTCTGCTCCTAGACTAATTATTTCATTTCTCACTAATAATGATAATAACTTTTACTTTTCAGGTGGCTATATCTTTTCCTTGTGAGGAGAGTTTTCTTTTCTGTGCTAACAGGCATTACCATCCTTCACCTCCTTCTACATCTCTCTGAAACAGGAAAGGTAGCCGCTCCCTTCTCTCCTCATTTGCTTTGGGGCCTGAGTGCCACAGGTGCTAGGAGCTCTCAAATGGTTTATAGGGCCTGGCAAGGCTGCAGCAACGGGGAGTTGCACTTCATTATTGCTGTTTTGTAAGTCCACCCTTTCTTAAATGGCTGCCAGGACACTGTTTTAGGGTGTTTTCCATGCCTCCCAGGCATGGAACCCTCATGGATGTGGCCAGCCTATAGAAGTTGTGCCAAGGCTCATAAGAAAAAAACTGATACCGGGTCAATATTTTGTTACAGCACTAATTTCTTCCTTTTTTCCCTCTTCCCAATCTTATAAAGATGTCACTGGAGAAGTGTCTATTCAAGTTCTTAGCCCAGTTTTTAATCAGGTTACTTTTTTTTTTTTTTTAAATATTCAGTTGTAGAGGTTTCTTATGTATTCTAGAGATTAGCCCTGTATCAGATATATTGTTTGCAAGTATTCTTTCTCATTCCATAGGTTGCCTTTTCACTCTGTTACTTATCTCCTTTGCTGTTCAGAAGCTTTTTAGTTTGATGTAATTGATTTATTTTTGTTTCCATTGCCTGTGCATGAAATCATTGTCAAGACCGACGTCGTGAAACTTCTTCCCTATGTTTTCTTCTAGGAATTTTTATAATTTCAGGTCATAAATTTAAGTTTCTGATGCATTTTGAGTTGATTTTTGTGTATGATATAGGATAACAGTCTGATCTCTAAAGGAGACACACAAATGGCCAAGTATATTAAAAATGCTGAATGTTACTAATCATCGGGAAATGCAAACCAAAACCACAATGAAATATTATCTCATACCTGTCAGAGTAGCTGTTATCAAAAAACAAAACAAAAGACATCATCATCTGTTGGTGAGGATTTGGACAAATTGGAAATCTTGTACACTGTAGGTGGGAATGCAAAATGGCGTAGCTGCTAAGAGAAAGTGTGGAAGTTCCTCAAAAACTGAAAATTAGAACTACCATATGATCCAGCAATCCCACTTCTGGGTATTTATCCAAAATAGTTGAAATGAGAATCTTGAAGAGATAGTAGCACTCCAGTGTTTATTGCAGCAAAAAATGTCCATTGAGAGATGAATGAAGAAAATGTATATACGTACAGTGGGATACTACTCAGCCTTAATAAAGAAGGAAATTCTGCACTACATGACAATATAGATGAACCTTGAGGACATAATGCTAAGTGCAATAATGAGCTAGTCAGAGAAGATTCCACTTGTATGAGGTATCTAAAATAGTCAAATTCAAAGAATCGAAGAGTAGTATGGTAATTACTAGGGACTGGGGGAAGAGGGAAATAAGGAGTTACTAATCATTGGGCATAGAAGTTTAGTTAACAACACAAATGAGTTCTAAGATCTGCTGGACAACGTTGTACCTATAGTCAACAATAACGTACACTTAATTCATTTTAAGACAATAAAATAAATTAAAAAAAGAGATGTCATTGGGTTTGCTCCACGGTCCCAGTGCCTGCCTCTTTGCAAACACTGGCCCCACGCTCTTAGATGTACCTCCAGTGTTGCTGGAAGTTCATCTAAGCTGATGGGGACTCAATGGATTCATTTGGCCCCATGTTTGGCATTGTTTAAGGGAGGGTCTTCAGTTTGGCCTCATAGTGTAGTACTGAACTAAATAAACCCTGATGCCATACTGCCTGGATAAAATATCCCAACTCTGCCACTTATTCGCTATGGATCTTGGGGAGGTTGCTTAATCTTTTTGCATCTCAGTTTCTCTCATCTGTGACATGGAACTGATAACACTGCTCTCCTGAGAATTAGATAAATTAATGCACAGGAGCGCTTAGAAGCATGCCTGCCTCATTGTAAGCACCCAACAAATATTGGCTGTTATTTGGTACTTTCGTGTTCCAGCTCCATTCTCCAACCCCCTCCCCACATTCTAAGAACATTTCCAAGAATGGACAGTTAGGATGATTCTATTAGGTCTTGGTCTTCTATTAGTGGTTCTATTGATCCTTGAGATTGCGTCATTTTAAAAAAATGTCTGGTTTTATTTTGCCGACTTCTGAAATCTATGCAAAGTATGGATGTAGAATTTTTGCGTTTGAAACTCCTCCAGGGGCCCAGGGACTCATGGTAGGGAAAATAAAAGAAGTCTTCAGAGATGTCTGTGTCTCTCCAGAGAAAAACAGCAGTATTACTTCACCAGTTGGCTTAATGGAATCAGTCAGAATCAGCCCCATGCAGTTTTCCCTGCCTAATTTCCCCATCACCTGTTCAAATACAGCCATTACTTTGGTATTTATTAATTGTGTTGTGATCAGTTTTTAAGGTATGTCTTTTTCTTTTTCTTTTTTTTTTTTCTACTTAGCCAGAATCACATTTTAGGGCAACCAGATTTTAATGATATTGACAGGTACTGTAGCTTGACTTTCTAAGCTCTTTCCATACAAAGTTAATTTTTGGTTTTGGCAATTTCGTGAAATGCATAGCCAGTTTCTAACTCTTGTATGTTTCCCTGGGTGAACTGTCATTTAAATTTTTTGTCAGGTGAGCTACAGGTAAAGCTTGTGATTGCTGGGCTTGGTGGCTCACGCCTGTAATCCCAGCACTTTGGGAGGCTGAGGCGGGCGGATCATGAGGTCAGGAGATTGAGACCATTCTGGCTAACATGGTGAAACCCCGTCTCTACTAAAAATACAAAAAATTAGCCAGGCGTGGTGTCGGGCACCTGTAGTCCCAGCTACTCGGGAGGCTGAGGCAGGAGAATGGTGTGAACCCGGGAGGGGGAGCTTGCAGTGAGCTGAGATGGTGCCACTGCACTCCAGTCTGGGCGACAGAGTGAGACTCTGTTTCAAAACAAACAAACAAACAAAAAGCTTGTGATTATAGCAAAACATGTTTAATACTTTTGATGGAATTGAACACAAAGTTAACTTAATCTTTCACTAAACTGGCGAGTTAATTGAATGAAATGATTAGTTTCTTAGTTTCTTTGGTCAACTTTGCTTGAATAATTGGTTGATCTGTTATCATAGAGCCTAGAACAGTTTTACTTCTCTTAGTCCCATGCGAAGTATTCATTGATTGTGGTTCTTTCCCAGGCAGTACTTGTTTCAAAAACACTGCTACCTGAAGTATTTTCAGAGACCTTCACGTGGACTGTTTTTGCAACTCTTATTCCATGGGTGAGTAAGTGCAGCAACAGGTCTGTGTGGACTCCTGGCAAGCTGTTTCTCTGACTGGAATCACTTGCCAGATGATTTTAATGTTGAAGGGCAAAACTTAGCGTTGGTTTGTGGCCCTTTTTAAAAAATCACCAAGCAGAATAAATACCAATTCTATAGGGACTTGGGGGCAAGAGAACTCTCAGAAGCTGGCTTATTTCTCTGTTTGGGTCTGCTAGTGAGGCAGGGCTTAAGGTTAACTCAGTCCTTATAGGTACAGGACTGTCTCTTAGTTTTACAGTCTTCAACATTTTATTAATTTCCAGGCAGTCTTAATAACTACTATATAACCCTTACTGCAGGTAGGCACTACTTGAAGTACTTAAGATGTATTACTCAATTTAATGTTCTCAACAGCCCTGTGAGGTAGGCTCTGTTAATTATCGCACTTTACAGATGAGGAAACAAAGTGCCTCAGAGAAACGAGGTTTTTGCCTGAGGTCCCATAGCAAGTAAGTGGCGGTATCTAAGGTTTCAGAGCAAGTGTGGACAAAGCCAGGATTTAAACCTAGGCAGCCCGACTCTAGAGTCATAACTACTCTACGGTACTGAGGGACTGCCTTAAATCATGCTGAAACCAGAGGGGAAATGGATTTCTTTACAATGACAGGTATAATAACTATGATAATAAATATTGGTTATTTTCTCTGATCACTCTCTCCCAATGAATGAATCTACTGGAAAGTCCAAATCATTGATTAATTGTTGCTAGGTAAGAATACAACCTGAACAAAGACAGTAACAGATATTCATTGGATTGGAGGGGTAAGGAAACAGGGGACATCATTACTTTTTCTGGGCTCCAGGTCATATGGCCTCAGCCTGATTTTTCAGAGGCACATCAGAACTTGGAGCTGAGGAGTGAGGACCAAGTCTTGCCCCGTGAAGTCTCAGGTCAGCGCCAAGAGTCTGGGGCACCATTACCAGTCCCACGCAGGGTAACAAGCCACGAGGGAACCAAGGTGGGAAGCCAAGAGAATCAAGAAGCATGTGTGATGAGGGGGCTTCAAGCTGGCCCTGGGGAGGCATTCTGGAGGAATTTCCTGAGCCGGAGTCCAGAGTTTGCCATAGGTTTTTACGTGTGCCTCTGGTGTGGGATCCTTGGGATAGTTAAAGGGGCTGTGTAGGAGGAGACTTGTTTCTAGGACGCTGAGGAAGCTGGATGGGTTACCCTGTCTCCTTCCAGGGCTGTGTCTAGAATGTTGACAGTGGTCCCAAAATTAGACATCTTCTGTCCTGGGTGGATCATAGTCTCGATTATAACATTCCTTACTCTCAAATTCCTTAAAAAAACTTTTTATTTTGAAATAGCCATAGATTCACAGGGGGCTGCCAGAATGGTTCAGAGAGGTACTATACACCCTTAATTCAGTTTCTGCCAGTGGACACATCTTGCCTAGCTAGAGTACAATATCAAGCCAGGAAGTCGACATTGGTGCAATCCACAGATCTTTGGCAGATTTCACCAGTTTTACATGCACTTATTTGGGTGTGTGTGAATAGTTCTATGCAATTTTATCATGTGTGGATTTGTATATTCACCATCACAATCAGGATACAGAACTCTTCCATCATCACAAAGATCCTTGAATTCCTTTTAAAAAGGAAACATCCACTTCTGAAAGCACTATTACCTCATGCTGCTAAGATGTAATTGAGGTTACAGTCTCCTTTATATCTTTTGCATTTCATTAATATTTTTATGTGACTACATCCTGCTTATCTCACAGACATGACAACATTTGGGTCCTTTTGACTGGATTACGAGGTTATGTTGCTTTCATTTTTAGCTCACCCTTAGGCAAGCCATGTAGGGAGGTGGAGGATAGGTCTCTCTTGTTTACCACTCTATACCCTGCATCTAGAACAGGGATTAGCACACAGCAGATGCCCAATAAGCATTTCTGAAAGGATTTAACCCATTATATCTTGATTCTTAGTACTTAACATTCTCAGTGTGTGTGTGTGTCCCCCGACCCTGCACAGTTCGGTCCCAGCTACTGATGTTGATTTTGAGTCAGATTCAATCCTAGAACTTTCACTGCATTGTTTTTTTTTAAACGGATTATTGCCCATAATGGACTACTTTGTGCTTTTAACAAAATTGAAGCTAAAAATTGTTTAGCCTAGAAGAAATATCTTTGACAAATAACCATGGGTATAGCTCATGCCTTCCCCCCTCCCCATCTGCCTGCTAGCCTTTTTCTTCTTACGTATCTTCATTTTATCAGGTTAAAACACCTACCAATTCAATGACATTCACACACCACCCCCACCCTCCCAAAATTTAAGTTCTCATGAAAATCTCATTAGCGGAGAGAGGTGGAGCAAATTGAGCCTCATCTGTTTGAGTTTCATTGTACCTGTTGCACATCGAGCAGCTGGCCACATGGGTCAGAGCTTCTTCTCATGACTGCACCAGGGTTACTTTGTGTTTACTGAGAGGCCCCGTGACAGCGACTGCTAGTTGCAAAGGGAAACCTGCAGGGAAAAGGTGGAAGGAGTAAGGGAGTAGTGATTTGTGTATGTGCCAATAAGGCTCAGGCATCAGATGTTCAAATGGGCACTGATTAAACTGGCATTCAAACTAAATTTCCATTCTAGTATTTCCAGTTTGGACAGAGCCATTCCCTTTTTTATTTTGTATTCTGAGGTTTGACATTGGATTTGTTACCTTGAAATTCTCTAATGTGTTAATTCTCGTGGATTCTTCCTTTGACACAGCCTTGTTAATCTAATGCCTGGACTCTTGAGACAACCTTCTTTCAGAAACTACCCTCCCTGCCCACATCCTCATCCATACTGCACATTGTTTCCAATTTAACCATTAAAATACCTGGCTTTAATCAAAAGCCTAAGGTTTCCCCTTGGATCAAATCAAGTCCAAACTCTTGCAATCTCCAGCTCTCCTCTTGAAGCTGACTGCTTACCATTAGCCCAGCACTCGTCCCTTCAGGCTAGTCCAGGCTTCTTATGAAGGACCCTGAGTGTAGTCACTTATATTTCTGTCTTCATGCCTTTTAGCATGTGTCCTTGGGGCCTGTATGTGCCTTTGGCTGCCTCCTTCACACAACATGTGACTCCTACTAATATGTCCATCAAGGAGGCACTCAACAGGCAGTCGTTAAACATGTAGTAGTAGTTTCCTGTGGTTTTTGTCATGAATGACCATAAACTTGGTGGCTTGTAACAACAGGAATTTATTCTCTCACAATTCTGGAGGTCAGAAGTCTGAAATCAAGGTGTATTGTCCGTTTTCATGCTGCTGATAAAGATATCCCTGAGACTGGGTAATTTATAAAGAAAAAGGTTTAATGGACTCATAGTTCCACATGGCTGAGGAGGCCTCACAATCATGGCAGAAAGAGGAAGGTGAAAGGCATGTCTTACATGGTGGCAGACAAGAGGGAATGAGAGCCAAGTGAAAGGGGTTTTCCCTTATAAAACCATCAGATCTCTTGAACTTATTCACTGCTATGAAAACAGTATGGGGAAACTACCCTCATGATTCAATTATCTCCCACTGGGTCCCTCCCACAACACATAGGAATTATGGGAGCTACAATTCAGGATGAGATTTGGGTGGGGACACAGCCAAACGATATCACAAGGTGTCGGCGGGACGGAGTTCCCTCGGAAGGCTCTAGGGCAGAATCCTGCCTTGCTTCTTTCAGCTCTGGTGGCTGCAGCCATTCCTTGGCTTGTGGCTGTGTAGCTCCAATCTCTGCCTCTCTGTGTCCCCCCTAGGTGTCTCTTGGGACACTTGTCGTTGGATTTAGGACCCATACAGGTAATCCAGAATGATCTTATCTTGAGATTCTTCAATTAATTATGTCTGCAAAGGCCCTATTCCAAATAGGGTCACATTCACAAGTCCCAGGGGTGAGGACATGGACCTGACATTTTGGGGGTCACCATTCAAACCACTACAGTAATTAAACAGTCAAACCCAAAGAGGATCAATTCTGAGGTACCAACCAATGCTATTAAAATATAAGTGGCCAGGCGCGGTGGCTTACACCTGTAATCCCAGCACTGTGGGAGACTGAGGTGGGCAGATTGCTTGAGCCCAGGAGTTCGTGACCAGCTTGGGGAACACGGTGAAACTCTGTCTCTACTAAAATACAAAAAATTAGCCAGTTGTGGTGGCGTACGCCTGTAGTCCCAGCTACTCAGGAGGCTGAGGCAGGAGAATCGCTTGAACCCGGGAGGCGGAGGTTGCAGTGAGCCGAGATCGCGCCACTGCACTCCAGCCTGGGTGACAGAGTAAGACACTGTCTCAGAAAAAGAAAAAAAAAATGTGTATATATATATATATAGAGAGAGAGAGAGAGAGAGAGAGATATGCAACAATTTGGACTAAAACATAAAACGTGCCTATTGAATTTGTGGTTAAGATGAAGCTGGGTTAGATAGATACACACTTAAAAACAGAAAGAAAAAAATTTAAAAGTTATAAGAATGATCCCAAATTAGCAAGATGGACTTTTACTTTGTGCTTATCTCTATGACATGACATCTCACATGGTTTCGCTCTCCCATTTGGCAGGGAGTTTCTTGTCTGTGTGTTGTGTGCTTAGCGTATTTGTTGTGTAAATGAATAAAGGAAGGACTGTGAAGCCTCAACTTTGGTTAAAATAATTAACAGATAACAAATAATTAACAGACCAGGCAGAAATTCAGTCTTTTGGGAATTCACAAGGAGAATTATTCAGTAGCTTTCAAGCTCAAAACACTTAAAGAATGTGACATAGCTGCTAGAAAAGGTCGTACAATATTAGGGTGCATTATTTAGAGTCCAGCTCAAAGTGGGAATAAGCCTTTGTAATTTGCACAGGCTTTAAGACTGTATAGGCTCTATAGTCTTGTATAGTCTTCAGATCCACAAAAGATGAGGACATTCTATTGCTTATATGACCAGTTCTTCTTATGTTTTAAATCAGCTGATGGATTCTTTTAGAAAAAGAGGAAATTCTTGTTGCTTACTTATTATGGTCATCTATGAGCACCTAGGGAAAGGGAAATCAGTGATGAAAACTGAAGGAAGTGGAAGTAATCACTTGTCACTAGCTGACTCAATATTTTAATCAATGCTTAGGTAAAGACATATTGATCTTTTTTTTTTTTTTTTTTTGGAGACAGGGTCTCACTCTGTCACCCAGGCTGGAGTGCAGTGGCGCGATCTTGACTCACTGCAGCCTCCGCCTCCTGGGTTCAAGCGATTCTCCTGGCTCAGCCTTCCGAGTAGCTGGGACTACAGGCATGCACCACCATGCCCAGCTAAGTTTTGTATTTTTAGTAGAGATGGAGTTTCACCATGTTGCCTGGAGTGGTCTCAAACTCCTGACCTCAAGTGATCCACCCACCTTGGCCTCTCAAAGTGCTGGGATTACACGCGTGAGCCACCACCCCTGCCTGATCTATTTACTTTGGTGGTTCATAAAAGAGAAGGTACCCAACCATGGGCTCTATTACTAAATCAAGCAACCTCAGTGGTTGTGATGATCAGTTTTGTGTGTTGGCTAAGCTACAGTTCTTAGTTATTCATTCAAACTATGAAGGTATTTTGTAAATGTGACTGAAGTTCATAGCAGTTGACTTTAAGTAAGGGATATTATCCTGGATAATCCAAGCTGACTCAATCAATTGAAGGGATTAAAAGCAGGCTGAGGTATCCCTGAGAGTGGAAGAAATTCTGCCTGGGGACAGTACCTTCAACCTTTGCCTGAGAGCTGCACCTTGTCCTGACTGATGGCCTGCCCTTTGGATTTAAGACTTGCTTAGCCAGTCCCACAATCTGGTAAGCTAATTCCTTGGAATACATCTCTTACTAAGATCTCCTACTGGTTCTGTTTCTCTGGTAGAACCCCACCTGATACAGCAATTGCCTGGGATCTCTGTTAAAGGGCTGAACAGCTGGGGAGGAACTGTGAGGCAGTAGAGTGTTTATCAGCGTTCCTTAAACTTTAATGAGATATCAGTCACCTGGGGGTGAGGCAGGAGAACAGGGAATTGGGGTAACCAAGGGTTAAGGTATAAGGAAAGAACAGCAGGTGCAGCAAGTTCCAGGCAAGATTAGGCAGCATACAGGCCACATCCTTGTTCCTCTGATAACAAGACAGAAGTTTCCACTTCAGCCTCTGATTGGTCACAGGCCAATCCTTCATAGGGTGTAATCAATTGGAGGCCTCTAAAGTGCATCTAGGAGAGTTACTAAACTTTTGTAACTTAGTAAGAAGCCTAATTGTTGTTGTTGGCGGGGGGTGCTCTTGTGCCGCATCACTTGCTGGAGTCTGCTCCCACTCTGAGTTGTAGCTTTGCTTCAATAAATCTGTGCTTTCGTTACTTTTTTTGTTGTTGTTTGTCTTTTGTTGCTTCATTCTTTTATTGCTTTGTTTGTGCATTTTATTTCATTCTGTGTTCAACTTGCCAAGAACCTGGACAACTCAGTCAAGACCTTCCATCCGGTAATAGGGTCTGAGTAGACTCAGGTGATGTTGATGCTGCCCGTATGCTTTGATTGGCAAGACTATAGTAGTTCTTAAATCAGGCTGCACATCTGAATTATCTGGAGAGCTTTTAAAAAACACTGGTGCCTAGGCCACACCTCTAATGATTATGATTTCATTGGCCTGTTTCAAAGTGTAGTCAGAAGCACAGAAGAGCGTAGGTGAGTGGTTCTCAAAGTGTGGTCCCTAGATCAATAACATCAGCATCACCTGGGAGCTTGTTAGGAATGCAAATAATCAGATCTTATACCTATTGACTCAAACTCTGGGATTGAACCCCAGCCATCTGATTCCCTCCAGGTGATTTTGATGCCCACTGAAATTTGGGAACTGGTGTAGGAAGATTTTGAGTCTGTAGTCAGCCTCCTTTCTTAGGCAAGCAGCCTAAGCTCTCTGTGGCAGACGTTAGCATCTGTAAAATGGGGATAACAATAGAACTCATGTTATGGGGTGTCAGCTTGATCAGGGAGCTGACACCAACTATGGGGAAAAGCTGAGGTTCCAATGCCAGGAGAACATGGGTACGTCTTTAATCTGGAGGGGCTGAAGACAGAAACAGAAGCACGATTTATAGGAAGCAAGACAAGAGTGAGAGGGATTGGTTTGGGACCAACTAGGGAGATGGGGGTACCCTGAGAACTTGCCTTGGTGGGCCGTGGGGGCTTGACTCAGCACCTTTATCAGTGCAGCCTAGGTGAGGACAGGTGGGGCTATGTGGATGAAATTCTAAAGGACCAAAGTTTGGAGGGTAACGTCTTCCTCTGAGGTAGTGGAAGAACCTGCCGATGGAGGGACCACAGAAGGATCTATGGGAGAACAACGGGAACTGCAGGAGAGGTAAGAAGACCTTCAAATATCAGTGGGCAGGAGTTGGGCTCTTAGAGGATGGGGGGGCCAGGGTTCAGACCTCTGAGGCTGAGGGAAACAATCAGGATCTGATGGGGGAGAAGAGGTGGGGGGTAGGATGGGGAGCTGTGCTGGAGGCCTAGGTGTTGTGCTGAACCCCTGTTAACCTCAATAGAAAAGGCTCCAAGTTCAAGAGGTCAAAGAAGAGACCCAGAGCTAGCAAATACGACTTGGGGATTTTATTGGGACTGACTTACAGGGGAGAGAGTCCAGTGGTGGTGAGCTGGACAGGAGAACCACCTTACCTATAGAAACAATCCAGCGGTGGTGGGCTGGACAACATAACCACCGTACACATGGTCCAGTGGCAGTGGGCTGGGCAGGAAAACCACAAATGCTTGCAAATGGCATGCAGTTTATACCGCATTTTCATTTAACACCCTCTCCTTAATGATCTCCACCTGGCAGCTTTCATGTACCGCACTCCTCAACCCCAAACTCAGGGCCTCCATGCCCCATAGAGCCAGTGTTCCACGGGACAGCCTGAGGGCTCAGATGTTCCTTATAGACAAGGAATGAATCTCTGGGTTGGTAACTCGGATTCACTATCGGAATACACTCAGGTGCGTCTGCCATACGAGGTCATTCTCAGAGTATGCTTGCTGTTGCTCTCAGGTGTGCTTACCATGCACTAGGAAGTCAGCTAGTTTGGGGTTTGCTGTTGGGGGCCGACAGGAGGAAAATGCCTGGGCCCAGGTTTGAGGACTCCTATGAAGCAGAGAAACCCACCATCCCAAACTCTAGCCCTTCTTAGGCTTACCTCAGGCCAGAGCTATTCCTAGGTGCCAGACCAAGCCAGGACCAGAACCCTTGTCTGCTTATCTAAAGCTAGTGGTGGGAGGGTGGGGATGGAGGCAACCGCGTGAATCCTACACCCCCACTTCCTAGGCCTCCCACCCTACCCAGCATTTTTAAAGTTCCAAACATGTTTCTGCGTTCTCTATCCTGGTCCCCAAGCGACCTTGGCCTTAAACGCTTTGTAAGTCTTTAGTGCTCTGCTCAGAACTCTAAAGGTTGGTGTAACTAAGATAGAAATGCTGTGTCTACAGCCGTTGCCTTGAAATGGCAATGGGAAGGGCTGCCAGGAAGTGTAGTCTCTCTTGGAACGTGTGAGGTGCAAAGAGAAAAGCTGCTGTTCTGTCTCTGGGACCTTGACTCTCCAGGAGGAGGGGGAGAGTTAAACTTACTTTACGTTTTTTCACTTTTCTATATTACTGCCCTGGACTGTTTCCACTTTTCTTCTGCTTCTATCTTCCTGTCTTTCCTTTTGATGAAAGAGAAGGGGGAACTGGGCAATAATCTGATTTAATGAATCTGCCATGCTATTTGAGAAAAACTGAAAGCTTTATTTTAGACCAAATGAAATGAAAAATTGTATATAATGTAAAATTAGTAAAACAGACATGTTAGGGGAGCACATGCTGGGATTTGTTAGAAGGAAAGTACCCTGTCTCAGCTTTGAGGAACTACCACAGCCTACTGTGGGCTATGGGTCATGGACAAAGGCGGCACACAGGACGTCACATATGCCTGTGCAGAGAAATTATCGAGAGACTGGATGGGCAGGATTAGAGGCCCAGAGCTTGACAAGGTAAAAGGGATCTTCTAGTTCTCTGTAGATAGTTGAAGCTGACCACTTCTCAAGGAAAAATGTGTTTTAGGGTATTCAAGAAAGCGTAAGAAAATCAATATTTTTAGGCTAGTTTTAAAGGGGTATTTATTGGCTGGTGGGTTAGGCATCTAACAGTTAACTAGTAGGTTACATTTATGAATTAGTATCTAGGAAAGAAGACATGAGATTCTTTGTGTCTTAGTTTATTCAGGCTACTATGACAAACTACTATAGACTGCGTGGCTTAGAAACAACAGAAATTTCTCAGGAAACTGAGAAGGCCAAGATCAATGCAATGGCAGATTTGGTGTCTGGCGGGGGCCCATTTCCTCGTTCACAGGTGGATGGTCTTACTGTAACTCCACATGGCAGGAGGGACAAGGGATCTCACTTGGGACTCTTTTATAAAGGCAATAATCCCATTATAAGGGACCTAATCACCTTTCAATACCATCACCTTGGGGTTGAGGATTTCAATACACGAATTTTGGTGGGGGGAGGGGTGGCCATAAACACTTTTTATCCATTGAAATTTTCAGAAATTTCCCAGAAAAACTACAGACTGAGTTTTACATGTGGTTTTCAGAGTCAGTAGCCTGAAATCAAATAGGTTAGGTTCAAATTGCCTCTCTAGTGTGCTTGATCCTGGGGCAAATTAGTTCTCTGAACCTTGATTTTTCTCGTCTTTGAAATGGGGATTATTATGGGAATTAAATGTACTACTAACGTATGCATACATTAATAGTTTGTAGAGTTGTTTGTAGAGTACCGTTTAAAGATTAGTCGTTATGCTTCCAAAGTCCTATTTCCTAGAATAGAAGATGAAATTGGATGTCTCATGGGGTCTCAGGAGTCTCTTTTGTTTTTTGATCCACCTATAGGCATATACAACATGTATTCCAGCATCATTCCCAAGCTGCGGTGGTATTCTGGGATCTGAGCCTAGGTTTCTCTTTTTCTTTTAATGATAAATAAATGAATAATCACAGTGGTTGCACAAAGTTCGGGTGAAGCCAAGCTTTTCCTTTTCCTCAGCGCAGGCTCTCTGGGCTGAAGCCTGTGTGGAACTGGGGAAAGGCATGGCTGGGGCCTCTTTCTCTAACTTGTTCTACTTCTGCACCACTCACTCTGCTGCCCTGGATGGAGGTGGAGATGAAAGGGAAGGTGAAGGGGCTGGGAAGGTCCTGCTTGGCATGACAGTAGTAACCTGGCATTGAGGCGGCTGGATGGGTTGGATGATGCAGTGTTAGTGCTTACTCTTGGTGGGCAGAGGGAGTTTGCAGTGAGTTTTCAGGGATTCTGGTCTTAGCAGTTTTCTACCTGCAATTCCCTTAATGTGGGCAGTTACTCCTGCAGTTGGACATCTGTGACTCTCCCCTCAGCCCCTGGCTCCTGGCAATCTGTCTCTCCGTTGGGGTCACCTTATCCCTCCAGGGGATCCATTTATGATAACCAGAGTCTGGTTCTCTTCCATGGGGTTTCCAGTTGCCCAGTGAGAACTCTCTGAACGTCTGTTTCCCACTCAACGCCGGAAAGGCTGGCTGTTCCCTTCATTCTGCCGCTTTACTACCAAGCAGCCATTCCAGCCAGCTTCTCATCTTCAACACTGGAGGGACAAGTCAGGTGTTAGTCCACAATCTCCAGGGAACAAACAGCAAACTCTGCAAGTTGTCCTCTTGAAGAGCCCTCTTGGCATAAGGAGGGGGAAGTACCACCTTCTCCTTGTCCATGGGGACTCCTGGACACCCATAACTCTCTTCAGAGAAAATCCCAACTACCTCCTAACTTCTGTCTTCCTGATGAATTCTAGTATTTCTTTAATATTGTCAGGAGGTGTGTGATGGGCTCCCATTGGAAGAACAATGTTTTTGGTCACTCCCTTCCAAATCCTGAAGAGAAGGCCTTGACATCTGTTGTCTCGGCTTTGGGGCATGGCCAGAATGTTAAGATGGGAAGAGTCCCATTTGAACATCCTGCCTCACCAAGATAAGGTTAAGTGTTCTCATGGCCAGGACTGCAGGTACTTCCTTCAGGATCCTTCTGCTTCCCCTGGATACCTGGAGGCCTTTGGGCCTCCCTTGTCCGTGCCCCAAACTCCTTAATAAAAGTCTTAACTCTTTTAGTCCCATCTAACCACAAAGTTGTTTTACACTAGTTGTCAGACAAAACTAATCTGCTTCTAGGAAATCTCATTAAAACAAGTGCATAACCAAGGCAGTTAACTCTTCCATGATTATCTGCGTGTTGAAAGAGATGGAAAATTCATGAGAGGAAAAAAAATCCAACAGAAGTTCAACATAGTTTCTGACAGATGAAACTCACACTGTGTACAGTTGTGGCCACCCTGTCTAGGGCCAGGGGTGAGGCAGGGGAGTGCCTCGGAGATTCAAGGTTCTCTGCGTCCCTCCCTAGAGGGACCTATTCTACTTTCTCTGGAGGTGGAAGTGCCTCTCCCTTCTGTTGACACCAGGTTGTCACCAACGTGACTCAGACATTCTCTGTGAGCTTGTAACCAGGATGGCATATGGACCAAAATGATACCCAATTTGAAAGGTATGTGGAAATAAACCAAAACCTTCCCATGTAAATTATTCCCACAGCACCGTGTAGAAAGCCAGGGCCCTTCCCCTCATTCCCTCCTAGCCGCTTCTTAAAATGACCAGTAGGGGGCACTGCAGGGTGAGTTTCCCAGCCCTCCTGCACGTCCCATTCATGAAAAGTTATTGGAACATGAAGTATGGAATATAATACACCTATTTTAGCTACAGTAATACTTGCTGAGGAATTGATTACTCATAAATGTAAGCTCTCAGTTGTTCTTGAGATGTGATCAGCTAAAGAAGGAAGTTTTAGCTTGAAGGATAGGGGATCCGTTCTAACTAGGTGTTTGTGAAGTACTGGACCCTCATGTCACTGGAAAAATGTCTCAGACATGACCGTTGTGTGACTATGATGTATTTGGACAGGGCACCGAAAGAAGGATCTGGCAGCCTTAGATTGGGGATGCGGGAGAGCCAGAGACATGAAAGCTGAGTGTTTTTAAATGTCAGGAAGAAGCTATCTTTTATGCTGACTTTATTGGATACTTGGAAGCTTTATTGCATGTCGGGCAGTTGAACTTAAAGCCAGCAGCAAGTTTATTATAAAATCAAATGAAGAAGGGACAAACAGTTCTTTTTGTCAAGGAAGGGAAATTGAGGTACCCAAGGAAAATAGAAAACAAATCTTAGATTTTTAAGAGTCACAGATACAGAAACAGAAACCCAAGGCAGGTTTTGAAATTGGGGCGTTTTAATTTAAAGCAAAGTTATTTTTCAAT